ACATTTATTATGAATGTAACATAATAACGTTCGATAATTGATATGTTTAGTATGTAAACGTACACTTATAAACGAAATAAAAACTAAAAATGTCAAACATCTTAAAATGCGCAGCTACACAATTGTACATGATCTTATTAAAGTTAAACGGATAAAAGAGAAAACACGATCTTTACCGTTTTCACTAACAAATACTAGCGTAAAACGGATAAATGATAGAAAACGTAAAAATATATTGATGATAAATTAAATATTGAAATAGTATTTACCCATTAAAATAAAAAACAGTCCACACGCGCATTTATCTTTTTTGTATATATTATATGACTATTAGAATTTTTAAAGATTGACTTCTCTAAGTAGCATTGAATTATTGATATTATTTCTATATTATAAAAAACACAAATCTATATTTTATTTTTAAAAAAGATGTAAATAACATTGTATAAATTAGATTTTTAACATTATTCATAGAAATAAGATTATGTATTTATATTACAAATTATACAATTTCTAGTCTAAGTTTTAATACGAAGAAAATAATTTACCATGATACTGAAATTTTTTTAATATTTATTACGTGAATAAATAAATAATATTAAAAATGTTTCTTATGAATTGTTTAGAGATAATATTTATTCTTTAGAAATAAAATATACAATATGTTACAAATATAATTTATGAAAAATTTGTAAAAAACAGAGCTATATTCAATCATCATCTATAATTTTGTAATAATAAAATGTAAAAATAAGAATACTAAATTTTCTTCACAAAACATTAATTCAAGATGTTGATATAATCTAAAATATTTACATAAATATTACATAATAAACATACTATAATACATCAACATATAATGTTTTATCAACTATTAGTTAAAAACAAAATATGGCACATTTTCTATGAGGACGTATCTTTATAAAATATTTTTGTGATTCGTTCTGCATATGTCTACATCAAGTGCGTGTCCTTCAACAATAATTATAAAAATATGACTGCAAAAATTTTATATCTCACGCATCAGTGATCATTACCTTTTCAAAACATGCTATATTTGGAAGTAAATACAAGTTTTACATAAGCCAAAATAGCTGGGTTGGAATAATAATAGATCATCAATATCAACAAGACAGAATGAAGAAAAAATTTTTCGTATTTCGCGAGATTTTTTAATATAAGTAATGGAATAAAAATATCTAATACTATTAATTTTTTTTTAAACCTTATTATGATATGTAATTAAACGCGTTATACATACCTTATGCAGCGACAATAGCAGTGTTCAGATGTCCTGAATTAATTTACCCATATGCATCTGCATATCAAAAAATATTGTAGTACTTACGAGTTATAAATAGTGAATGGTATAGTTAATTAAAATAATAAAAACTATAATTTAATTATAAATTTTAATGTGCATTTACAAATACTATTAGATATGTGTTAATAAATTATTATGATTATTATGATATAATGAAACTTTTTAATATTATATATTGAAATTATTATATCCTAGTTAAATTAAATCAATTAAATGAATAGCACATTAAAAATTTATTCATTATTTACATAAATGATTATACTTATAATTACTTTGTTAATTATATTAAAATTGTAACATTTTTCCAAGATTATTATCAATTTAATTATGAAATTTTTTCATTATAACATATAATTGTCAAAATAACGTCATCTATTCACTACGTTAAAAAATAGTGATTTTTTAATTTTCACAAGGTAAAATTATGCGTATAAATCTTTAAGAAAATTTGACTGATAGTGATTTATAAAAATCATTATTAATTTATAAATACTAATTTACAAAGTACTTATTTAATTTATTTATTTTATACATAAGTGTAAAATCTTAATTTCTAAGAAATGTGCCTATACCAATTGTTTAATGTTTATAAAGATTTTATGGTATAAGGATTTATTCTAGTTTCCTAGTATCAGATATTAAAAAAGTTTTTAAAATATCTCAGAAATTGTATTGTTAAAATAAGTACCGCATAACTTATGAATTTCATGATTTATCCAAAATTTTTGAAAATAATTTTTTTTATTATAATAAGCATAATTATTGATATCAAACATTTGTTAATGAATAATATAACACATTCAGTATTATACAATTTATTTTTCCTTATTATAATTTCATTATAAAGAAAAGATCAATGTTTATTACGCAGCCAACAAATGTATCGTATAACTCTATTTATAACATATTTTAATTAAACAGATTGAATAATTTCAACAGTCGATTGTATAATACGAACAAGAAAATAAAAAAATCAAGGCACGGACATGGAATTTTGGCCTAATCTATGTGTCATGTGAATGTGTTACCTATCTTTATCTATTTATCTCCACCAGAATGTACGTAATATTTCATACAATATAATCATAAACAAATGAAGTGTATAAAGCTGATATTCTCATCTTTCAATTCAATTACACTATACCTATAGCTATTCAAATTATAGACATAATAAAAAATTGAATGACTGCACAGTTCCATTTGCAAAATACATGTGAAAATTTAAATACTACAAAGTATATACACAGTAGTAATAAAATTAATTTAAATGGAAAAATATAATTACACTTTTAAATTGATAAAAATTAAAAGATGTATCTTTGATGTTATTAATTATTATGAGGCAATTTAATCTTAAGTGGAAAACAAATAAAATGTCGTTACGGATATTTTATAAAATGACAATTTGAAACAATAAAATTTCCAATTAGCTATATTTAAAAATAAACAAAATGCTTCAAACTAATGATAGAAATTTAATTTCGAAGTGTAGTTCAATTGAATAATATATATATTTATCATTAACATGGAGGGAAACATTAAAGTTGCTTATTCGTTTTAATAGCTAAATGATGGTTTATAAGTGTTTTGGCTCTTAAACACTTGAATTGTCATTTTTCAGATGTATCATTCTTGGTTTTCGTTTCGGGAATTTCTTTATTTAATTTATGAAAACATTTATACCACAACCAAATTATAATGGATAATAAAAATTTATGTAAAAAGCAACTGTACTACATTTAAACTTTTTGAATATTCCAATACTAGCTTACATTGGTTATTACGCGGTGTAAATATTAAATAATTTGAATTATATCGTTCGTTAAAAAAAATACCTCGATAAATTTCGTAATGCAGACAAAGTCCAAACATATTGTATCTATAATCTTTTATTATCTATAATGCAATGAAATACCCTATGTAATAAAATTTGTTATCTTTTTCCCCAATATTTATATACAGACATAAAAACAGAAATATTACTGTTGAAAAACATAAGTAAAATAATAAATGATACAATACTCATGCAGTATGCAGTTATTAAATTATAATTGAAAGAAGTGTACTACTACAGTAAAATTATATTCGAGATTTATTATTGACATTATATCCATACTTAGTAATATGAGATAGAGATTGAATTTAATAAGTAATGGATTATTTCTTTAATAAGCGATTAAAATATATGTAAATGCAAGCGTTTATCGGTAATTACAAATGAAAAACAATATTATATTTCTATTTCGTATACTTAACAACTGATTAGTGAGAGATTGAAGTTTATCTGTCCTATTGAAAAAAATAAAACAAAATATAATAAAAAAATGAATACATATGAAATTAATAACTATGTATATCTTTATACATGTGTATAATAGTCTATAATTTTTCATATTGTACGAAATTTTTAAGTTTATATTAAAATGTTTTGTGCATTCTTATGAAATATATATGATTACCATTTATTTACTCCTTTTATCCAAATCCTATTGTATTATGTACTGTTTAGTTAATTAATATAATTTGTTATATTAAACACTTATTTTGGTATTAAACAATTATTTTATAATTTTGATTGTTCAAAAAAGTTTAAATAAAAAATTCTATTCTAGATGGAATAAATTAAAGCTTACGTCACAAAAAATATTTTTATTGTGTACTTTTTTATTTCTTCATTAAACGTTACATCTTATAAAATGTAATGCGAACTTTAAAAAGATCAAAGCTAAAGATGGGTCACATTTTATTCGAACAAAAAAATCCTTATTCCTCGCTGACTACAGTGCTATAGTTTATTTATTTATTATATATTAAAATTACTATTGATACATCGACCTAATGATAATATTATAAATCAATGATTTTAATTTATATTATAAATTAGTTTACAATTCTTAAGTAATTATTAAATGTAATTGACAGCACTGAAATCTTTGAGGAATTCATTTTGTTTTCATTAATATAATTTGTAATAAATAAAAATTATTTTAGTTAACAATGTCTTTCAGACATTATTGTAGATTTAATACAGGAAATCTCATAATTTTTATTTTGAATGCTTAAAACGTTTATAAATTTTAACCTTTATATATATTAAATAACTATGTTACATAAATTAATACTAAGTGAATAAATATTGATTCACTTGGTTGTAAAATATATACATACATACATACACACACACACACACACACATATATATATATATATATATATATATATATATATATATATATATACACACAAACATACACACGTGTATGCTGTCGTGTTTGTGTTATGTATGTATCCATGTGCATTCGTATTTTTATTTATATATATTTTTCTACTTATAAAGACATTTAATTTATAATTTTATCAACAATTAATCTGCGAATAAGATCTGAAAGACATCGAATAACAAAAGGATTTTTAACCAACATTCATGCGATTTCTCCTTCGATACGTCATAAAAGTATGTACGTATATATTAAATGAGACGCACTTGTGAATTATCTTAAAGAAATACCTCAGATTTAATTATAAAATTGTTGCATAATGAATGTCTTTTTACGTTCTATGTACAAATTTTTGCAGCATTGATCTCGCACTGTTTGGAACGTAATATTCAGGCTGATAACGCTTGAATTTTTAATATTTTGCAAAAAGTTAAATTTTTATTTATAATTTTATTTTTCTTCAAAAAATATATCATCACATGAAAGATATTTAAAATAAACTCAAATCAATTATTCATAATTGCTGTTATAATTAGTTTGTAAGTTTTACACTTCACATAATTCTTTTTTTCCATTAAATAAGCGAAGAAAAATAAAATAAAATAATAATAATACAGCATAATGTACAAGGAAAACTGCGAAATCCATGAAGATGAAACTCACGTGTGCTTGTAAAGTAAAATCAGAATTAAAATTAACGGTAAAGTTCATTTAAACAATTGTTCGTAAATACAAACTCGTCAAACTTATTCTTAATATAATAAACTTACTCTAAACCTTAGTTTCGTATAGTTAATCAAGACATATGACGTATAAGTTTCTCTTTGAATCTTTTTAACTTTTAATTTTTTTAAATATTTTTTTCCTTTTTTTCATTTTGATCTCTTTTTAATAATATTGACAAAGTAAATTTAATTTAATTTCTACATTATGAATATAAGCATTGTACTCTTCAATTAAAAGCTTCGTAATTCTACTTCACAAGCTGGCACATTTATCCTCCATGAATCTAGCGCAACGTGTGTATGTCGTGTAGGTGGTCTTTTTTCTTTCTACAAATTTCAATTGGAAGATATCACCTTGCCTCTCCTATGATTTCTCATGGAACTTAAGGTAGTGAATCTTTAGGGCTCTCAAATTGGGATACTTGATCTTGCATTTTGGACAAGCAGTGCTCTGGCAGTTCTTCACATTATAAGTCGTGAGATCGGTCTCCGACCAAAGACTACTTTTGCTCGCACCCGATTGGTAAATTGCTTTGTGCATGGTCATCATGTGCTTAGTCATGGCAGCTCTAGAAAACACATGGCCGTCGCATAAGTGGCAATTGTATATCATGCTCGAGTGCGTTGTTTCATGACTCTTAAGGGAGTGCGCACTGCTGAATACGAGCTTACAGCCGAGCGACCTGCAGGGAAAAGTGGCGCTCTTGGTCTTATGTTTGTGAGCAAAATGCTGCTTAAGGTTTGGTACGCCAGGGAACTGCTTGCCACAGAGATTACAACAGACGAGGCCTTCGGCACTCACCAGGGGCACGCACTCGGCCTGCTGCTGGCTATTAGCCCTGTCTCTACCGCTTGTCGGCAGTTTATGCACGAGCTGCTTATGCTGATAGAGCACGCTCATGTTCGGGAACATAGTCTTGCAGATGAGACAAGTGACCGGCTTCCTCTTAGAGCCATGGCCACCCAATTGGCTCGCTGATGCATACTCCAGACCCGGCTCCCTCTTCACCGCCTGCAACCTCATAGGCTCTGATGGTGGCTGATGTACCAGGGCGGTTGTCGTTATTTTCTTGGAGCCATGCTGATTCTGAATGCGTACGACACTATGATGACAGGGCGAGGCTTTATGTCGTTTAAGGGATGCATCCGTTGAAAAGCTCTTTTGGCAGGAATGACAATAGGGCCGCTTCGTTTGAAGCGACTGGAGATTCATCATTGTCGTTGCAGGGAGGACCTTGTGAAGCTTCTTGTGGCGCAGGTAGAGTTTGCGATTACTGTAATACTTGCCACAAATGTCGCAGTAGAAAGTTTTTGTGGGAGCCTCGAAGCTACTGGTTGTACCACTGGCATTGTTACCGCTAAGGATCGGATTCTGCGAGTGCCATTTCATATGGTTCTCTAGAGACTCCTCATCGGGAAACTTGTTAGTACAAAGCTCGCACTGCAGCTCACTCGTAAAAGACTTTTCGGGTTTGTTGCGAGCGCAATGTACGTCCCAGAGGTGCTTTCTCAGTTCAGCAACGTCCGTAAAACGATCGTCACAGACCTGGCATTGTAGATTCGCGATTGTACCAAGCTGCTTCTGGGTTGGGTTGTTGGGGAAGGACTTGCGTGCCTTGGCAGGTTTCGATGAGCTCGTCATAGTCATTGTGTAGCCCGGACCACTAAGCGTTGTCTCGTCGAGACTCGCGTTCTTGTCCACCTTAAGACGATAGGTCGATCGAAGGTGCCAACCCCGGTGGGTCTTGAGGGATTGTTCCTCGCGGAAAGTTTTGCCGCAGAGATCACACGAGTGGCCCCAAGACGAAATGGTTGAGGTGTGCCGAGAAGATGGAGCGGTAGGTCGCGCTGCGTTCGCTCGCGCACGTTCAAAGTGATTCTCTTTGTGGACATTTTGGCAGTGAATGATGAGATTTCCTTGATAAGCAAAAGTTTTGGGACATTTTGGACATTGCATCAGTGGCTTGCCGGTACTCGAAGATAATTGCGGTGGTGGCGGAGGCGGCGGCTGTAATGGGATTAGTCTTAAATTCGTGCATGTACTAACTAATATTAGTTTAATAGTATTTTTTATTAAAGTGGAATTCAAAAAACACCAGATATGTAGTCTATAAAGCATTAACATATAAAAATAATATTCTATAAAAATTTGTAGACAAATATTTACTACTGTAGCATTAATAGTTAATTTTAATTTAATCTATCTACAATTAATCATTTTACACTTAAAATCAACATTATTATTATTTTTGTTTCTTCATTTTTTATCTCTGTAATGGTGAATTGATGCTATAAAGCACGAGATAACAAAATAAATATGATTTCAAAATCATAGTAGAAAATATTTAAACGAATATGTTTGAAATTAATCAATATCTAACCATTTTTAGTTTATGAATGACCCATGGAATTTTAAAATTATAAGAATGTAAATAAAAAAAAAAGTTAATCACAATATATTTGCATATGTCATTAAAAAGATTCACGATTAATTAAATTGGAATGTAACAATATTTTTAATAGTAATTAATATAACTTATTTAACACGCAAAAAAAAATAAACATCACCATAACCGGTACTTTTTCAAGGTGCTGTTGTTGCTGCGTTGACCCGTGTTCCGTTCTCACATGTTCATTATAAGCTTCGACTGACTTGAATCGCCTTTTGCAATCATCACAACTCCAGCGACGCCTTTGCTTGGAGTGCAAATTTCGTTCGTGTCTCTTTAGATTTGCAAGGTTGGAAAAGTTCTTATTACACTCATAACAGTGATGGAAGCATCCACCAGGATCTGAGGTGGAGGAGTCATTCATCGCGGTCTGTGATCGACTTTGACGTCCATATTCAACGCATGAGCTATTGGCATTTTGTTCACCTGGATCCTCTATTCCGTGGTCCTTCATATGCACTTCAAGAGCTCCCGAACTACTGAACATACTTCGGCAAATAACGCACGAATAGATTTTTACTTTGAGATGAAGGTTTCGATGTTCTGTAAGCTCTATTTTCGTAGCAAAGTCTTCGCCGCAAAGGGCGCAATTGAAGGGCTTGTCATTAACGTCCATTGGATGTATGACTGAATTCAACGGATTCACTGTTATCGAAAACTCGTTATTTGGCTGTTGTTCATTTGATGTTTCCTTAACGTTTTCCTTATCTAAACGGACACGATGCGTCTCATGATGGCTAAGATAATCATCAGGGGTAGTAAATTTTTCGTGACACGTAAAACAAGTAATTTCACGTTTTTTATGATCATGCAATACATGTGTATAGAACTTCTTATACACGAGATACGTCATATTACAATGAATGCATCTATACGAGGTTCTGATGTTCTCAGGTAAAGTAGAACAAAGCTCGCGATGTTTGAACATATTAGGTTTATACCTATAAATCATACCACATAGATCACACATATGATTATGAGCTGGATCACCATTCATATAAGGTCCGGAAACATTAACAATAGGTTTTTTAATTGGTGATGAATCAATTTTAGGAGTTGGTGGAGATGGATTTATTGGTTTCAATTTCGGCGGTGACCTTAAAGGTTGAGCCAATTGTTGGTATTGTTTATCAGCATGTATGGCTAAGTGTGTAAGAAGCTCTTTACGATTATCAAACGGTCGAAGACACATGTTACAGGTGAAATATTTCTCATTACCAACTTTCGGGACTACAAGAGCTATTTTCATAGCACATTCAAACGAGGCCCCACAATGAAGTTTATACATGGATCTATCGGAAAATTCGGTAAGACAAGCAATGCAAGTGAATGGTCTTAAATCGGGCATGTGCTGACGAATATGATTCAAAGTATGTCTGCGGTCGAAAAAGGTTTGTTTACAAGAATAACAAGAAAAAGTCTTTAACTGACTAATGATAGTCTTTTGCACTGGTATTAGAGGATCAGTTTTTATCATCTTCTCAAATTCCAAATCTTCACTATTAATTTCATTTTGTGTATCTGTAATAGGTTCTGTATTCTCTGTGTGAAAAGACAGTTTTGATTTTTGTTTCTTCATTGATGGTTGATTTGGAGGTTTCATAAAATCTACAGATAAATTATTAACAATTCCATGGTATCTAGACATGTGTTGAGTATAAGAGTACTTAGAATGTAAATAAATTTTACAGTGAACACACTTTTTCTTAAATAATCGAATACCCCTGTAATGAGTATGCGGACCACGTCGCATTCTCTTTTTCGTTCCAAACCTCCTGGTACTAAATTTTTGAGTTGAATCAGCCTCCATGATTCTATCATTATTACCTGTATTGGCCACTACTGCCATTGGATTAATTAAAAGTTCTCCACTATTAACAGATTCAACATCTACATTACAGTCATCTTCGTCTTCTGTATCTACAGGTTCACTTTTAATTTGAATCATTACAGTATGATCTTTGTCTATTTTTTCATTCATTTTTAGAATTTCATCTGGTGATCCCTGAATAATCTTATTTATAATTGGTATAATATTACTTTCACTATCAACATCCATATTCTTATCATTTAACACAGCATGATGATTCTATAAAAATAATAATAATCTCAGATAAAATAAGTAAAATTTAATATAATAGATTGTTTTTAAATATCTTACTGCATTTGTAATATGTGGATTGTCATCTGGAAATTCTACATCTACTGGTTCTTCTTTTACAGTCACAACTGGCTAAAAATGAAATAAAAATACATTCAATTTAAAATTGACATAATAATGTATCAGAAAAATTATGTGTATGTATATTGAATAAGTAAGAGAAAACGAAGGGAAGGAGAGTGGGACGGATGGAAGGAGGGAGAGAAAAAGAGAGAGAGAATGAGAACAAATAAAAAATTACAAACTTATTTTGTTACAATTGTATCAATTTATAAGTTCAATTTAGTTACAACAAACTAAATTTCCAAGAAAACTTGCTAATGTATTTGAACATTTTTATAAGTTTTAATATAATTTATAGAAAGAAGTTTAATTTCAATATAGAGAAGTAAATATATATAAATAAGTTAGTTTGCTAAACTTACTTGAACAGTTGTACTTTGTTTTGCAAACCATTGTTGAAGTTTCTCCTGCGACTGCAGGCAAATATCCTTGTAAGAATACCATTGGTTTATATTTTTTATACAATTTGTACATACTAAAGTTGATAGTTTATCATGGGATGAAATCTGTAAAAGAATTAAAACTATGTTTATTGAACTATATAAGTTATCATGACAATTTTTTTGGAATTCAAAATGAATTGAAGACTAAATTATTCAATTGTTAATTCTTAGAAACGAAACGATAAAATCTATATAATTCTCAATCACTACCATGTAGACAGTAGTATCAATACATTATTTGTTTCAGTCATTGGCTAATTCCTACACTTAGCTTATTTTCTTTTAATTAAATGCTGCAATATTAGAAAATCACAATTGACAATTATAAACAATTCTAAGCCATATATGCAGGAACATATAAAGAAATTAAATATTTTACATAAAATAATATGAGACGATAGCCAAAAGCATTGTTGATAAAATAATAAGTAATTATGTCGTATTTTGATAAATCTAATATAAAAATAATTGATAAATGGCATTTATAATTTTGTAACAAATTCGGCATTTTCCTGCGTAACCTCTTTCTTCGGGAACCTAACCTTAAAGTTCATCGGAACAGCGTACATTCGCAGCATCTAATCTTTCGAAGCGTTAAGGATCAGAAACGATCAGCCAACCCTTCAAAACTTCATAATACAAACCTGTATTGACAAACAGGCGCGAATTTTTTCGACGAAGGGCACAGATACGTGCGGCACGCCAAAAATCGAGGACCTCGTTTGCTCGGTAGTAAGACACAATCTGCAGGCATTTTCCAAGCCGCTGATCTCTACAACGTCGTCCATTCTCGTGCCGCAAACAGGCTAAAACCAAGGACGCCGGGCAGACGCTACTGCGGCTGAAAGTTTTGCGGGACAGGCACAGCGGTGTTTTGTCGTTCAAGATATGTCGACGACATTTGTAAATGGTACACATCCACACCACCAACACACGATTAGCGTGTACAATATTACAAGTGCAAACAGTAGGCCACGGGCAGTCCAATGTTCTAACTGTTCCTTGGGACTTCTCGATGCAGTCGTCGTCATTGTTTTCTGAGTAATCCCTATGAGTACGGCCAACACTACGGACTACGAACTGTTTACGAAATATGTGCCGCGCATGCGCCACAACTATTTACCCCACTAACACGCTCCAAGTTGAATTTTCGTCCTCTTAACGCGATTATACGGTCTTTGAAAATAACAAACTAGATTATCTGAAAACTCTTTACCGATAATTAATATGGCTTATTAATAACAGAAAATAAATCTATTGCTAAAACATATCAACTGACAAACTGTTCAGCTAGTTATGAAAAATAATATTTGGACTAACTAAAATGTGTAAATATAAAGTAAATAAACAGATTTTGTTAATTGAAATATTGTAATTACAATTATATAGAATCATAAAGATTAATAATAATTGGAAATAAAGTTTTATTTCTTCTAAAATATAATTTTCAAAATCTTTGCACATCAAGTTTAATGAAACAGAAAATGAAAGAATTATTAAACTTCATGCTAGTGAATTTCAGAATGTATTATAATAAAACACAGCATTACATTGATTCAATTAGTTTTATTAAATTATTTTTATAATATTTATATTATTAGAGTGTTATATTATTTAAACAACTTAAAATGATGTAAGAGAAATTAATAAATATATTTTGGGCATCAATATTTATTTTAAAATATTATTGTATTTAAAATACACAGGATATATTTATGTATATGATATAAAACTTATTTTGATTAATTTTAAAATTAATGAATTAATTTAAAACTGGAAAATAATTCAAATTTAGAAAACACTCCTAACTTCAATACAGACATAAAGTAAACTTCGTTTTATAAATGTTTCATACAAATTATAATTTCATTTAATAATATTTATTTTTTAGTGAATTAAAATTTACTTTATAATTCTACACAATTAAAAATTTGATTTCCAAACAGTTTTTAGTGTAATTGTTTGAATAACCAATACCAGTTGATGTATACATTTAAAAAAGTAAATAATGATATTATATTCACTAATTGGTGTTTATTATAATTAATAATTATTATTTTAGAAACACTTTAAAAAAAAAAGAAAAGTAAAAAGAGAATCCGTCACAATTTAATATTTATATAAAACAAATTACTAAATAATTACGAAGATGTTAATTTATTATATAATCTGTACATCATAACGATAATTATCCGACCTAAGTAACTATAATAGAAATATTTTTTAAATATATTGAAATATATAATATTCATATAGTATTGATATTTTACTATATTTTTATTTTTTTTCTCAACAATTTCTTAGATAAATAATATAATACAATGTAAATAATCATAATAATAAAAATTGCTTAAAACATATATTATATATTTTTAATTAATCGCTTGTCATTATCATCTGACAAAGTTTAGTAACATTATTCATAAAAAGGCTCTTATAAGCTATAATTTTGATAACTTTATATTTTAAACTTTATAGATTTTACACTTAAGAAAACTATTTAGTTTTAGCTTTATAAACATTGTAATAACATTCCAATAAAATCTATTTATATTTATACTTTGAACGCATCTTATAAATCGACAAACAATAGATAATAACTACATTTCAATTTATATATATATATATTTAAATAAAATATTTATCATAATAAAATGGTTTCACAATTAGTAACATAACAATAAAAATGTATATAAATTAATATAAATGAATATTAAATTGTACTTTTTTAATATATAAACAAATAATAGAAGCAACTGTAAACTATTGAGACCAAGTTTCTTAACCTTCTAGAAATTATAAAAATGTATTTACATATAATTTACCAATTATGAAATACTTATTTATAAAATAATTGAAAATAGTTTTTACCAGTTTGAATTTTTAACAAATATTGGCTATATTGCATTTGCACCATTGTTGTAGATATCTAAAATATTAATGGTGAAAACTTAAAATCATCTTTTCTTCTCTAATAATAACTTTATATGTATATAGATATATCATTATAAATTCAATATTTTGTACTTCATTTCACATGAATATTATTAATAAAAGAAATATCTTATTTACTTTCCTTAGATATTTGACCTAAATTACTTGTCATTGAATTTTAATTGTTATGATGGTACACACGTGAGTGGAAATGCGTATATATATATATATATATACGTACACAGTCAAACACGCACACATTAATACATATATTTACTAATTATATTTGGTAACGTTAAAAAACAAAATGTAAATTATATTAATGCATAATACATTTTTATATATTTCTTTATTTTTTCTTGTCAAATATTAATAGTATTACAATTTGGCGCGCAAAACTCATACCAGGAGATAAACATGGCCAATGTTTTCCGGTTCATGTTATTCCATCATTCCAGCCGTTTAATTAATGAAGGCGCCTGCCCATAGTGACGATGGTAATTAATACCGGATTTCTGAATCAACGCTTAAGTTGTTAAGCAATTGGTTGCCAAACAAGAATTTCGGTGTGATTGGTGCTGACCAAGATATTCTTGTACGTTGAACTTCGATTCATCCGAATACTCTTTTTTTGTTCTGGCTTTTAGTTCCCTAGAAATAACGTTCCAATTATTATAAATCTCGGGAGTTTCAAATCTAATGTAAATCAATGAATCATTTACTTATGTTATTCAATTTCTTATGTAATTGACATTATTATTTCAACATACTTATAGTATGTCAATTAAATTATTCAATAGAATTATAAATAAAAGAGAAGAGATGAATGGATAGCACATATTAGACAGATACTTTGAAGCTTAATGAAAACAAGTCTAAAGTGAAAAAATCATATAATTTACAACTTACAAAAATTGCATGTTTCAGAAATTATCATTTAATTTAAATAGCTGCTTCTTGATATAGTGTAGAATATTATTTACACATATAAAACTTAATAGTTAATTTAATATTCATTCAAACTACTACCTTAATAAACAATTTATATTTATAAGTCTTGTGGTATTATGTTGCTGAAAATGCATTCAATTAAAGAAACAATGCTAATTTTTAAGTGAAAATTTTTTTCATCTAATACCAGTAATATTTATTATTTGTTAATATTCGTTACGAATATTCATGATAAGTATACTATTCAGATAAGAAATTCTTAACAAGTTCTAATCACTCGGCGTAAATACTCACCTGGCAACCGCATGAAAAGCTAATTCAACATTGAGGCCAGTCTTGGCTGAGGTTTCCATAAAGGGCACCTTGTACTCATTTGCTAATCGCTGTCCATCTTCTCGTCTCACTACACGTTCCGCACCGCAATCACACTTGTTACCTGCAATTATATTGTATCTTGAAGATTACATTCGAATAACAAAATATCAAAGTAAAGGAAGAAAAATCGCCCTATCCTATCTATATTAATTCGGCCAGGTTCAAAGAAAATATTCAAGTTATTGTACTTAGGAAAAATATAAAAATTTAAAAGTAAAATTCTACGTACATTATTTATTATATACATAAGTTGCATTGACAAACCTTGCATTTTTACTATAATTTACTACACAATGTTATATTTTAACTTGATATGCAATAATATACTATCAAATTATTATCATAAATTTATACTCATATAATATATTTATAAAGTAATTAGATGAAGTTATTTTAATATTAAAAAGCTTATAAATTATAAGCATTATATATTTCAAATATATTACAAACTACATACATTTGAAATGTTTAAATAAACAACTTATTATTTTTCAATAATTACTTTTTGATAAATCTAATTTATTGTAACAAAAAAGAAATAAATTCTTCCTTCTATATTATAATCAAAGTTTCTCAATGATAAAAAGTATAATTCTATTAGAAGTTGATACACAAATATGAGAGTAGAAAAACTTTTCAGAAATTGCATTGTAGCGGAAAAAGTTATAGATTTTCAGCTGGCTTATTTAATTGTTCAAAAAATTAGTTTTATATAACATTTTAAATTTTATTTTTAAAATAAAAAGAAAGTAATAAATCCGTGTAACAGAATATGTGTTATTAAATTTGATGATTGATATATATTTTGCAACCACATTTGGTATTGCTAATCGATTTGAAATTTGTATAATTTAAATCTTTCTTAAAAAGTTTCTGTCCATTTTTTAAATTTCTTTTTGACAACTTTTACATAATTAAATTTTATTTTAAATTTTCAAAAGTAAACTGTCAAAGATCTTTTGTTTCCATAATAAATTTCAGTGATGAGTTATAAACTTCCTATAAACTTGTTCATATAGTTTTTAATAATTATAGATTATAATATCATACATAAATTTATGATACATTTTTTATTTTTATTTTAAATATTTAAGATTTTTTGGCTATATATTACGTTTACAGATTAAAATATAAAATTTATACCAGACAATTATTCTTGTTTCTATGGTGTAATCATCAAATGCATGAAATATATACAAATTAATTTGCAGAAGAAGTAGTCATCTAAATTACAATCTTAATTACACAACTTAATATCAATCATAAATGAAATCCAATCATTCATTTCTATTTTTCTTTTCGAACGTACGATAAATTTTCGATCATTCTTATTTACAATATTTGACATCATTTGAAAACAATAACTTAACATATATTTAATAACAAAATTATTTAATTTTTTTCAAATTATAATCCTACTAATAATAGTGAAACATTAAGGAACATTAATAATACAACATTAACATTAATAAATAATTAAAATATTTTTATATATTTAGATTTTGGCTTAATATCATTACATGTTTTTTGACGCCCAACAGTTTATTGATTGAAAAATATTAAAACAGTAAAGCGCATATATATATATATATATACGAAATAAATTAAAACAGTTCACCTTGATAATGAGTGAGAAAGCCAATAAGGGTATGTAATACATTTAAATAAATTTCTCGCGAATGTTGCGATATTATTATGCATTTCCATTGGATTAGGTGGGCCGAGCTTCCTCTCGCATTCCTAGGCAACGCCGAAAGCAACGCCGTGTCAGGCCTTCAGGCCACTCTACCCGATGGCGGACAGGTATTTTTAACGCGAAACTCACCCAGCAGCATAATCACGACGTCATCTTGGGCGTATTCACGAATCTCGCCTAGCCAGGCCCTGATGTTGTCGTAGCTCTGCTTGTTCGTCACGTCGTACAGCAGCAGCAGCGCTGGAACGGGAGGAAACGAGTCGTAAGGCGTGATCGCTCTCATTGATTATTCGACGCATCTCGCGCTGTACTCTCCGAGAAGTGCAAAGGCCAGCATTAGCATAATAAAGTATGGTACAGGTCTGTAACTCATTATTGATATGCGTATGCCGTGTGCGTGATTAATCCTCGGGTACTAATCGCGCGGCCAAAAGGTTTCGTGAAAATGTCTGCTAACGTTGGCCTGCCTTTCGATCGGAAAATGAGAGCACGACTTTTGAATTGCTTGGATCGCAATGATTTAACAAAATTACGTGTACATTAGGATATAATAGAGAAAAACAATGTAAAATCATTGACCCTTCAACGACAATAACTACCTATGACGATACCAACAAATTTTTCAAAATTAACAGACTCTTAGCTTTAAACGAAATCTGTAAATCATTACAAATATTCTAATTGATAAATAAAATTTTAAATTTAAATATATAAATATACTTAAATAATATTATTTCTTCTACTATATTAAACTCAATTTTATCATTTTATGTATTTTAATTGAATATATTCACAATTAAAATTATAGAATTTTATAATATTATTATTGTAAATTGGATGTTTAGAGAATGGATTTACTATTGAATAAACTTTTGTAGATATTCATTCTTACTGTTTTACAATAAATATGAATTTTATGTATTAACTATTATTAATAATAACCATTGTTCATAATCAATTTATAAAAGATACTTAGACTTTAAACTAAAATTGCATTTAGTATTTACGTTAAAAACCATAATTCTTATAAAACAAAATGAAATACAACACTATTGCCGATAAATAGACTATCCAATTTCACAAAATGATTATTGTTTTTATGCAATAATTTGTTTAATTTGTACTTTAAAATAAATATTCTTCATGATATAATTTTACCTTAAATTAAATCGAGGTACTAAATATAATTTCTCACGTTATTAACATAATAATTTAATTATTAAATAATTATCTAACTAATGTTCCTATATATTTTTTAGTGTAAATAATTAATTATGTTATTTTAGTATTCTGAATATTTTAAACTCGACTAACGAATCTAAAATGTATATCTCTAGATACACATCATCCAATGAGCTTTATTAAAATTCAAAATAAAGATATGTTAATACAGCTATATTAATCACTATGAATTTTACAATTAATGCAAGTCTATTGGATAAGCGAATGAATACAAATAAATTAAGCTAATTTAATTATCAAAATTCTGACTTTTATGAATTTTAATACGTTTTGAAAATAATTTAGTTCAAAGTAAAAGTACTTTTACAGTGGAATTCAAAATTTATTTACATTCAAATCTTATATTTGGTCTTCATATATTAAAAAGAAATCTGATTTTTATACTCCAAAGGTAATGTAGTAAGATATAAGAAAAAAATTATTTTTTATAAAGTTAAAGATCATAAACTATTACCATGTGCATCCCGGTAGTAAGCATGCGTTACGCTTCGAAATCTTTCTTGTCCAGCAGTGTCCCATATTTGAAGCTTGACATGAGAATCGTCAACAGTAACCATTTTATTCTATAAAAATAAAAAACAGCGCATTAAGTATTATTGAAAACAGCGTTAAGCGTTGAGTGTGTTTTCTATGATCATTGTTGGCGATAAAGTATTTAGGGTTCTGGGTCGACAATTAATAATTTGAATAAATATATTATTTAGCAGATTTATTAAAATTATTTTCAGTAATAATAAATAGATATTCTTTTATTATTTTTTACATCGTGCGTAGATTTCATAGATTTAATATTATAAAACGTTAAGAAAGAATCACCCGAAAATCGATGCCAACTGTTGTAATATAGTTTCCATATAGAAACTGACCGTCACGAAATCTTGTAAGAATGCAGGTTTTTCCTACTCCGCTATCACCCAACAGCATCACCTGTGCATTCATGATAATTAATAATAATTAAACTTTCAAATATAGAAAACGATGGCCTGCGCAGCAACTTACATTTATGAAAAATAATAATATTTAGAACCGGTTTAAATCTATTGAAAACAGCCAAAGAAATATGTTCATCAGTAAGTGCATGCTCTTAAAAGATATTAGTAAAGAAGTGGAATTGTCAAGTACTTTAATATATAATAAGTTTATAAGTGACTGTGCAAGAGTTTAGAGTGATTATTATACTACGCCAAGCCATCTCTAAATATAAAAATCAAAAGGATAAATTGAAATAGTTTAAACAATTAAAATTTTAAGCAAAACATTAAAAAACGAAACAAGCATTTAAAATAAATCAAATTAATTATTATAAATTTTTGTAATTATAAAGTCAGCAAATAAAAAAAAATTTTGTATTAATTCTTCAATGAACAGTTTAAAATTACCTTATTCTAAACATTTTGCTCTGAATAAATAACAGTGTTTCGGATGTACTGCTTATGATAAAACGTGTAATGATTAAAGGTATGATAAAGTAAGTATTATTACAAACAATACAAAGTTTGTAAGAATTGGCATGGGAAAATCCGAAATTTCAAATCGCGGCACATTGCAGCTATGAGGATGGAGCGTATGCTAAGGTAAGACGAGCCGTGAAAAGATGTGCACAGTAGCTGGTACAACAAAAAGAAAGAAAAAAATCTAAGGCCAAGAAGTTGTTCGTTGAAAAGAACGTTTGATAAAAAGTATCCGGCCGGCAGCCGCAGCTGCCAAGTAAGTCAATGAGCTCGGGAGAGGCGACACCTTGCAGTGAAGGTCACAGTGCTCGGGTGTGGCCTGCGCGGAGAATAAGCTGTCGTTCGAGGACTGGCGGTGTGAGTGGTGGGGGTTACCGGGCCCAGGCGACGGGGCCTTGCTGTTGGCGGCGGTAGGGAGCCAATCGAAGGCCCGGTGCATGGGCCCCTGCTGTTGCTTGGCGGCGCGCGCCGCCACGACCTCCTGCCCTTTCATGAAATCCTGCTCTCAGGAGCACCAATTTGCTCTTCTTCTTCTCGGCCACTCCTCGACCACCGCCTAGGATCTCCCTGGGTCGCTGCTGGTGCCTTGTGCCTCCGCAATACTAGCAGGGCCCTTGTGTGCTCGTTCACGTGGTGGGCCCACGTTAATACCCCGGCGAACGATGCCGGGCACGAACGAGGTCAGTCAACCTCCGTCGACGTCACGCCAAGCCGAGATGGAGGCAATGTATGCCGTTGGTGCTGCTACGTGCGCCTGGCCGAAGCAGGTCCGTAATTACCATTTACGGAGCCCGATTTTTCAACTACACCTTATAGTCGAATCCCGCGCTTATTTACACACTTCATCGCGCTTCCTTTTGCTCCTTTCAATCTTCTCCTTTCAGTTTTTTCTTTTTTCTTTTAATTTACTCGACAAACCTAAGTCTTCACGCTCAGCTTTATTTACTAGATACTCTTCCTCAACTTAACTGAAAGAGTGCTAATCTTACTTTTTTATAACTATTGGTTAGAATATTTTAGACCGTTGATAAAATAAAAACCGGTTTTTTCAATGATTATAGCGATAAATTTATTATGAAGAGTATTATTATAAAGAGTTATATTTATTATAAAGAGTTTATTATAATAAATCGTGCTTTTAAAATATTTAAATATATTTTAAACTATTATTAGGTGTATGTTTGTAGTACTGAATTTCATTGTTCCGATCGAAGCTGAATTTGATTTATTTTACTTATTTATTTAATAAAAAATATATGCAGCATTCTTTGGTTGGATTTTACCTTACTTTTTCAATACTATTGAAATCCCTATTTCTTATTATTACAATTATTAAAATATTAACTAAATATTATCTAGGACGATAATTAATATTTTATATTTCGCATATTAAAAAAATTGTAAGTAAGGTATAGTATAAGTTCGTTTGTATTTGAATAATTCCAATTTAATTATTATACAATAAAATATTTTAATAATACAAAGGAGATAATAATACGATATTATGAGGCTAATTTCAAAATATGTTTAAATTCAAAAATATCGCCTAGATTAAACTTTTTTATTTTACTGATAAATAAATTACATAATGAATTAATGAATTACGAATTGTTTTAACTGCTCTTGAAAATACAATTTTTAATTTGTTTTATTTCTACTCTTAATTTAAAAATTAATGAAGACTGATTAAAAATCCAAAGTAACATATCTATTTAATCCTACTTGCACAACTAAAATTGACACTAGTACTTTCATCCTTATATATTTGTAATTATAAAATTAAATTATATGTGACTAATTAATATGTGCTTAAAATAATAATTAAATTTGTTTGATTACAATTTATATGCATTATATAAATGCTGCAATATTTCAATAAATAATAAATATATTTTCCTAATGTTTATACCGTTCCATGTATTAAAAGAAAGATACTAAAATTCACTATTTTTGATTACAGTATAAAGTATTTTCATAAAGAGTGTAAATAATTATATGCTAAGTAATGTTTCTCTTAAACTTGCATTTTCATATACTTATGATGATATTAATTAACTGTTTAATTTTCGATTTCTTTATTCCGAATGCACTCAGATTAACAAACTTTATATACTGGCAGCTACTTTCTACTACTTTAATTTTCGTGGAAACTAATGTGTAAAATTTTAATAAAATTACCCTTTGAATTTTTATGTGCATTTCGCAGGAATTAATTTACTGCTTTAGAATATTTTATAATTTATTAAATATAATATAATTTATAGTTTCGAATGCTAGAGATCCAGTAAATAATAACACATTTTTTTATTCGATTAACTTATCATTCCTTATTGTTGAATTAAGTAATCGATGGTTTCCATAATTTTTTATCTTTATTATACAATCTTATGCAAGTTTACATAATAGTTTTCATAATATTGTTAATTTTCAAACATGGAATGAAACAAATATTGTTTAAAAAATTGTATATTCCCATAAATGAAACTAATGGAAAATAATTTCTTGTAAACACGCTTGATCATCAACTATATATATAATTTTATATTAAATTATTTTATATTTACCTACTACCTACCTAGCTACAAGTTTATATACGAATGTTATTGATACATGTCTCTTTTTCGTGTATTGAATATCCAACAAAAAATTGTTTGAATTGTGAAAGTTTCGCTTCTACATACAATTAGAAAAATGTACGTTAATAATTAAATTATTCATGTTTAGAGGTCAAAATTTACATCAAGTAATTCATGTCTATTTATTAAAAAAATAGCAGTTGTCAAAGATTCATTGCACAAATAGTATCACGAAAATATAGATGTATGTTCTTTTCACATTCAAAGCAATAATACTAGAAAAGCAGCAAATGGCAAAAATCAAACTAAAGCAAAAACTGAACGAAGGAAGAGACAGAAAAATTATGTGCCAGGTATAAGCAATATGAAACTCTTGAATTTATTAGAACTCCGTACAATATTTGTCAAACATATTACAAGTATACAAAATGATCCTACAAGTGTTACATTGAAAAATTATTATTTTATGCTGTTAATTGCTATTGCATCCAAATCGTAAATTATTTTTATTCGATAAAAGATGCCAGATTTAAATATTGTTAGTGATGTTAATTTTGTAATATATAATACCAAAGTAAGGTAATACTCAGCAATAATGAATCTTCATAATGTGAATTTAATAGTAAACAAATATTTTATATTAAATGTGTTTAAAATATACACTACATATAAAGCCATATTTATTATCTGACAGTTCTTTATGCAATTTGTTAAGTTATATTAAAAAAAATAAAGAAATTAGAAAACTTTATCAACAATTTAAAGCATTTCTGAACATATTGATCAATATATTTTCATTTAGATTGTTACCATCATATGAAAATTAATGCGCATTCTGGTATCTTATTTTTGTAATAATTGTTCTCTCTGTAAATGCTGAATTTGGAACATTTAATTGATAAGAGTATAAATCACAAATGTATATCAATCTGCACTCGAAGAAATACTTGTATTGATTAACAATTATTGTAGGTTGAAAATATTAATAATCCACGATATAAAAAAATTTTTTTCCTTGAAATGTTTAATTTTTATTCTAACGTTATAGTAAAATATTCAATATACAATTATTATATTATTATAGACACATGATGATTAATTTTGTTTTATCATAGATTTTATTTAATTATAATATAATCACGACATTTTAAAGAAATCTTCTAAAATATTATTCGAAATCAAATATATAAAGTATCTAAACTTATTTAAAACCATTCAAACTCTAATTATTGCGTAAGAGTTATCAATAAATCTTCTTCATATTCAATTTATTTATTTCTCGTTGTAAGTCAAAAATAACACAGGCTACGGTATGTCTCTATCAATAAGTTGCCACAATTTTACCGGAAGTCTTTATTATTTTTGGCCTACATAATAGTTCAGTATTTTTATTAATAATGAAAATTATTATGTAGAAATATTTAATATTAAAACTGATTTATTTTCTCTCAATATACATAATTAATAAATGATATACTATTCTATTATATAATGATATATTATGGTATTTCAATACAACTCATAACGATAAAAGTAATTTATGACATGATAGTATTTATATTATCTACGGTTAAAACATCTATTAGTTACATTATATCTATAGATTTTAATAATCCATATTAAAACCATCAATCTTATATTTAGATATTTTACTGACAAAATTAGCAAAAATTGTTTAATTAGCAAAAACTGTAAGTAAGATAGTTTAAGTAATAATACTGCATTATTAATATAGAATTTATAAATTAAATATTAAATTTATTTTTCAAACATTAACTGATGAATTTATAATAAAATAAATAAAAATTCAATAACTATGTTTAAGTCAATTCTTTTTATTACGAAATATGTTGGAGGTTTTAATTATATTGAAGAATAGTACAAAGTTGTTATAAATATGGAAATATTTATTTATTATTTTTAGAGTTATCAATGCATTTAAAAGATTATAATCTACAATAAAAATGTGGGTATTATGTATAAACATATATTGATTATTTATATACATGTATAATATATTAAAGTTTCTGGAATATATTATTTTTAAGTAATCCGATTATTTTAAAAATTATTTTTTATAAAATATGATGTAAAAAAAGTTATAACTTAAAATTTATTTTTAAAATTACGTGAATTAGTATTTATACTTCATATTTAAAATTTAAAATTTTAAATTCCTATTCTTATTGGGTAAAACCAGAATAATTTATTTATAATTTGTATATTATATAATTTTGTATATAATCATTTATATTTTAGTGAATTTTTTATTAAAGTCTGTATATTATATACACAGTAAAAATAAAATAAATATTTCTCTTATTTATTAGTAATTATAATATATTTTATAGTATATATGTATAAGAAAGAATATAAAAAACTCTTTTTATACTATTTAATATCTATAATTCAGATTGATTATGAAGTTCACACATGTTGTATTATAAAAACTAAATAGATTTGAGAAATTAAGAAAACAAAATGAGTTAAAATATTGTTTTAATAAATTTAAAGAAGTAATATATGTTTTTAATTATAATCTATCATAATAGTTACAACAGTATCACACAAAAGTGATTATTGAAAAAGCAATTATTATAGGAATTAGTGAAATTGAGTGTGTACCCACATCCGAATAAAAATAAAAAGTCTTTAATTGTAATTTTTAAAAATGTTTTTTCAAACTACCTTGTAGAAAGAAATTTTCAATAATATAATAACTAGTAAATACGTTAGAAAATTCAGGAATATTTCTTAAATCTCATCAGCGAATTTGTTTAAATTTTTCCGCGTTTTTAATTTCAGATACTTATATTTCTTAAAGGAGAGATTTTTCATATCGTAATTTTGTAAATGCAATTAAAATTTTATTATGCATAAAAACTATTCATTTACTATTTATAACATTTCGAGTTTTATTTGAATGCGAAAACAAAAAAAAGTAGTATGTTAAAAAGTTTAAAATGGTTTATTTGATTGGAGTATTTACTGATAGTGGTATTTTATTGAAAATTTGTATTTATTTAGACAATATATAAGTAGAATTATTTTTCAATTTTTTGGAGTAAAAAAATATT